TTCCTTCCAGGTCCCCTTTAAAGCTGAGGTCTTTAGGGTAATGGGTCTAGAATATAAAAGACAAATGGGACATAGCTTTGACCCCCCTCAAATGAGGAGACACAAATTCAGCAATAAGTCCCACCCGTCTCCCCTACAGGTCAGGCCAAGGAGGGTGAGGGCCTCTTGGTCTCTAGACCTCATACACTCCTCCAGCTTCTAACTGAATAGAACTTGCTTTACCTCAGCTGGGTGTTAGGTACCCAAAAAGGCTCTGCTCCCAGGGGACCAGTCTCCACTCCCTGCTTTCTCAATTAAAGACGATTTATACAATTGAAGTGTTGTCTGCCATCTGTGGGTAGCAGGCTTTGGCAGTCGCTCGGGGAGGGATCAAGTCCCAGGGGCGGGGCGGGTAGGCTGGCGGCTGCCCCCCAATAACAGGTGCACATTCCTGGGCGCCTCGTCACTTCCCCTGCGTTGGCTGTCCTGGCGGCTCACCCAAGCGGACTCACTGAGCGACGCGGGCGGGCTATGACCCCAGGGGCGCTGCTGCTGCTGCTGCTGCTGGCGTTGGGGGCGCAGTTCGCCCCGGGTAAGTCTGGGCCTCAAAGGGGCAGTGACAGGGCCAGAGGTCGTGGCCGGGCACCAGGGCTTCACTCAGTTCTCTCCTCCTCCAGGCGCCCGCGGCTCGGAGGCGGAGGGCCGACTCCGCGAGAAACTTTTCTCGGGCTATGATAGCTCGGTGAGGCCGGCGCGGGAGGTGGGAGACCGCGTCGGGGTCAGCATTGGTCTCAGCCTAGCGCAATTAATCAGCCTGGTGAGGGCGCACGCTGGGAGTTGAGGTCTGGCCCGCTAGCAGGCTGGGGGGCGTGGCTTTAGGCAGGGCGGGACCCAGGGACCACTGGGGGCGGGGTCCGGGGCGAGGCCAGGCTGGGTGACTGACGGGCCGTTAGAGATTGGGTCGAAATCGGACCAATGGACAAGATGTGGGCGTGGCTGCTGGACGGTCCAGGATGGGGCCGGGCAGGATGAGGAACGGGCCTGTGGGCGGATCTCAAAGTGGAGCTGGGGCCGATGGACAGGCCGGAGAGCGGACCTTGAGGCGGGGTCATAGGCTGCGGCGGACGTTGGTGCCGGACAGGGTCAATAAACAACAGCGGGCAGAGATTCACTCCGGCCGAGGCCGGGACTGGTAAATGAACTGGCTGGCTGTACGGCCAGCAGGAAGTTTACGAGATAGAGGCGGAGCTTAAGCCAACGCAGTTTATAGGAGGTGGGGCTTGAAGCCAAGAGGGTGCGACTCAGAAAAAGAGGGGAGTTTCCAGGGAGAGTTTACCCACCGAGCCCCTCATTTCTCTACACTGACATCATATCTACCCTTTAAACTTTTCCCTTCTAGAACGAAAAGGATGAGGAGATGAGCACAAAGGTCTACTTAGACCTGGTACGGAGACCCGCGCAGGGTGGGAAAGGGCGGGCGTCCCGCTGCCTTTACAATTTCCTCGAATGTCCCGCCCAGTAAGATTTTTTTTTTTTTTTGCATCACGGCCTCAGAAAACACATTTATAACTGAAACAGAAGCTTCAGGAAACAATACCTATCTTTATTATGGGAGTTGCATTCCATGCATTTTTCATTCTAAATTTTTTTTAACACTGGTATGTGGCCACTCATTTGATTCCGGACCTATGAAAAGGGTCGTTAACTGCAGTTTGAAAACCACTGTTTTAGAGGCTAGCGCGCAACCCCCTCGTTTTTACAGAAAGAAGAAATTGGGGCCCGATGAGAGAGAAGGGGAGATTAGTTGATAGGGTCCCAAAGAGTGCAGGTGGAGTCTTAAACAGAGCCCCGGCCCCCAGAACCGCAGACCGTGCCTGCGCGGCTCTCCTCCCTTGCATTCCCTGCCCGGGCTTCCTTCGCACATCCCAAGACTCCTTGCAGCCTCCAGCCCCAGACGGCCCCTCAGCCTCTGCTTCCCTAGGAGTGGACTGACTACAGGCTGAGCTGGGACCCTGAGGAGCACGAGGACATCGATTCACTCCGCATCACTGCCAAATCCGTGTGGCTACCAGACGTGGTGCTCCTAAACAAGTAAGGATGTTCCCAAAGTCTGGGAGGTGGGGCAGGGCCTCTGGAGGGGCGCGGCCTCCGGAGGGAGGGGCCTGATCCCAGATGAGAAGATTCTTTACCTGCAGCAACGACGGAAATTTTGATGTTGCTCTGGACATCAGCGTCGTGGTGTCCTCCGACGGCTCCGTGCGCTGGCAGCCCCCGGGCATCTATCGCAGCAGCTGCAGCATCCAGGTGTCCGGACCCCACCTGGGAAGCTCAAGGCGCTCCTAGAGACCCTCACTCAGATATCCCTCCTCCATTATCCCCATGACCCTCACGTCTCTCTTACCCTTCTGATTTTCCGATGAGTTTCATCTTCTCTGTCCACTTTCATTGACTTCCAGTCTTCCTCAGTGACCGCCCCCCTCCATTGTCCATGACCTCTCCGCATAACCTTCTTATTCCTCTGAGACTCCACTTCTCTGTGATCTCCCCCTGGTGGTCCCTATCTCCCTAGTGCCCCATATCCTCTGACCCCTGTCTGCCCTGTGACCTCCCCAACTCCCCCAGCCCTGACCAGCTCTCTGGCAGCTCTAGTGACTCTCCACTCCATCCAGGTCACCTACTTCCCCTTTGACTGGCAGAACTGCACCATGGTGTTCAGTTCCTATAGCTATGACAGCTCAGAAGTCAGTCTGCAGACCGGCTTGGGTCCCGATGGGCAGGAGCGGCAGGAAGTGCACATTCATGAAGGCACCTTTATTGGTGAGTGGGCTTGGCTCCCATGTCCATGGGCTTTATGATTTCCAGTTTCTAACAGGCTGATAAATATGCTCCATCAGTGAGTCCCTGTGGGTTCAGCAAGATAGGTATAACTGTCTATATTTTGTGGTTATGGAAATTGAGACTTGCTCAAATTTATTAGAGATGGGCTGTCCAGCCCAGGGACCATAGCTAGCCCCTTATTACATCAGTACCCCCTGCTCTAGGATGTGGCAGAGAAAGCCATATCTGGGAATTCCCTGGCGGTCCAGTGGTTAGGACTCCACACTTTCACTGCTGAGGGCCCGGGTTCAATCCCTCGTTGGGGAACTAAGATCCCACAAGCAGCGCGGTGGCGCAGTGAGGCAAAGAAAAAAGAAAAAAAAGAAAAAGAAAGCCGTACATCTGGCACCAACAAAGACAGGTTCCACATCTGTGTCACCTTCTCTTCTCCCCCCACCCACCCCCCAAGAGAATGGTCAATGGGAGATTATTCACAAGCCTTCTCGGCTAATCCAGCCTCCAGTGGATCCTAGGGGAGGGGGGGAAAGACGGCGTGACGAAGTCACCTTCTACCTCATCATTCGCCGGAAGCCTCTCTTTTACCTGGTCAACGTCATTGCCCCATGCATCCTCATCACTCTTCTGGCCATCTTCGTCTTCTACCTGCCACCAGATGCAGGTAAGAGGGGAAGGGGCCCAGCACTGCTTCTTACCAATGGTTCAGGTTCTTGCTCTTCACCCATAATACAGGGAAGGTTTTCCTGCCAGCTCAAGCCTTCATGAACTGTGCTTCAGCAATCTCACCCAGGTTTTCCTTTCAGGTAGAGCCTTTGCCTCTGCGTCCAGATTTCCCCTCCAACCTCAAGCTC